GTCGTTCAGGGAGCATGAGGAATCATTTTCACACATGAATTGGCCACCACAGAGTCCTGACCTCAACCCCATTGAAAGTCTTTGGGATGTGCTGGAGAAGACTTTACGGAGTGGTTAGACTCTCCTGTCCTCAATGCAAGATCTCAGCCAAAAATTAATGCAACTCTGGATGGAAATAAATGTTGTGAAGTTGCATAAGTTTGTTGAAACAATGCCAGGATGAATGCGTGCCGTAATCAAAGCTAAATGCAGTGCAACAAAATATTAGATTGTGCGACCTTTTTTTTTTGGCCAGACAGTGTATTTTTTTTTTTATGTAGAAACATTTAGTTTCATTATTTTTGAAGGCATCTTTGCTCTACAGCATTTCTTTAAATGTGCCTAAGACTTTACATACAGTACTGTATGTATATACATACTATCTGCAGTTTCAGGCATCCTCTGGGGGGCTTGGAACCTATCCCCTGCGGATACGGGGGTCCTACTCTATATTAATATAATGTAATTATATTGCACACACACTGTATATATACAGTATCCTTGTCAAAGTGACTGTAACTGACTCCCTCTTCTCCAGCAACAATGTCTACACTAGCAGTTTCTACTTCATGATTCACACTAGCCATGACATTGTAAGCTGCCTTTTTATCTCTTGCCCACTGTGCATCCTTGGTTGTTGCCATAAAATTATTATACGCGTGTCTCTGCCAAAATAAGACAAATAGCTGATGTTGATGATTATATATATATATACATATATATATATATGAATACTGCATAAATACCTACACAAACCAGCAGTTCTGCTTATTGCAAAGTATCTGCTTAGTGTATTCTTGCCTGACGTTACCAAGCCTTATATCCCATGTGTTGTTATTCTGGTTTTTGATCTGGTTTCTGGTTTTCTGGTGTTTGATTCTCATGCCTTGCCTGATTTAGTCTATTTGTACATCGCTGACCCTTGCCTGTTTTGTGACTATGATCCTGCTTAACATTTAGGATTTGTTTTTTAGGATTTAGGATTTGAGCAAACCAAAATCGCTCAATTCATCAACCTGGTGACCGACAAAGCGCTAACCCGTGCTACGGCGGTTTGGGTGCAAGGAGGGGAGCATATAACCTCCTATAACTGCTTATTTTAACTGTTTCAATTCCAAGTTCGACCACTCTCCAGAGGGCAAAGAGATTGGAGAGTGACTCATGTCCCTTTGACAAGGTAATCAGAGTGCCGTTGAGGTTGTACTCATCTTCCGCACCCTAGCCACGGGCAGCAACTGGAACAAACCAGCACTTAAGGCAGCTTTTCGTCAGGGTTTATACCAGGACATTCTCACAGAGCAGGCATGCCATTATAACCAAGCACCCCTAGAGTTACACATCGACCTGGCAATTTGCCTAGAACACCTGCTCAAGAACCGAGAGGGACGTAAAGCTGAGCTGAATCCCATCCATGAACCCAGTACTTCATAGAAAACGCAACTTAGCCAAGCCAAGCTAACCTCTGTGGAATGCCAAAGGTGTCAAAAGGATAGACTCTGCTTCTACTGTGGCAGTCCCAAGCACCAAGTGGCACAGTGCTCCTCTAGACCACCACCCAACTTTCTACAGCAGACACATGAGCGATCTGATTCCTCCTCTCACTCCCACATGGTAAGTCCTTCCAGATTCCTATCTCCTCCAAACTTTGCTATACATGTTCAGATAAGGCATTTACAAGATCTCTCTACTGTTACAGCCTTGACCAGCTCTGCAACAACTGGCAAAAGTTTAGTTAAGATTAAACCTGACCCCCCTGGGCACTCGAACACCCCTTGCCCATCCAAGCCCTGGACAGGGGACCCATAGGAGGAGGGTCAATAACCCACCATATTGAACCTCTCATGCTTCACATCAGTGCCTTTCACCAAGAACACATTTCACTGCTCATCACAGTCAAGTTTCCAGTTGTGCTGGGGTTCCCCTGGATGCACACCCATGACCCACAGATCTCCTGGGCAGAGAGAGAAATCACCCGCTGGTCCTCATCTTATTGCACTCACTGTCTCCAAATGCCTGCTCTCCTTCAGTTGAAAGCCTTGAGACTAACTCCCAGGTGGAACTTCCTTCTGAGTACCAGGACTTAAAGGAAGTGTACAGCAAGGCTAAGGCCAGCGGCCTTCCCCCTCACCATTCCTATGACTGCACTATAGAGCTCATAGCAGCTTCCATGCCTCCTTTCCACCAAAGAAAGCCAAGCTATGGATGAGTACATTGAGGAGGCCCTGAAACAAGCATTGGGAAGCTTCTTCTTCATGGAGAAAAAAGGGGTGGCCTCAGGCCTTGCATTGAATGATTATTGTGGACTGAACCAAATCACTCTCAAGTATTGTTACTCTCACTGGAACAGCTTTGTGAGGCCAAGCATGGGAACAGCTTTGTGAGGCCAAGATTTTCACTAAGCTTGATTTGTGCAGTGCTTTTAACTTGATATAATAATAATAATAATAATTATAATAATAATAATAATATAACAACATCATGTGCCACGAACCACAACTCCTGCTTCGGTGCCTACAGAAATGGCCACCACGGCCTACAACACCCAAGTCACATTAACTCTGTCATGTTCTCAGTCGCCATCTTACTGATCACTTACCTGGACTTGATCACGAACACTTCTCTGTATATCTTTGCGAATTCCAATCTGTGGTTTGCGTCTTGTGGTATGGCCTCTATATTTCTGTTCTTGAAGTCTTCTTTGAATGGTGGATTGTGATACCTTCACCCCTGCCCTGTGAAGGTTGCTGGTGATGTCACTGACTGTTGTTTTTGGGTTTCTCTTCACAGCTCTCACAATGTTTCTGTCATCAACTGCTGTTGTTTTCCTTGTCCGACCTGTTCCATGTCTGGTTGTTAGTACACCAGTGTTTACGTTCTTTTTCAGGACATTTCATATAGTTGTATTGGCTATGTCCAATGATTGTGCAATGACTCATCAATTTTCCCTCTTTTCTCAGCTTCAAAATGGCTTGCTTTTCTCCCTTAAACAGCTCTCTGGTCTTTATGTTGGTTTATTCTTCTTAACAACAAATGCAGTCTTCACAGGCAAAACTCAGGGCTCAAACCCAGAGAAGACATTCTGAGCTATTAATTGTTTAAATCATCAATCTAACAGGAAAACAGAAAAATGGGTGGGTTCAAAAAAACAAAAGGTGCCAGGTTGTAAGTTGTTCACATGTACAACACACCTAGATGTAAAAATCAGGAAATGAAAGCTGAAATTCTGATCTAATCATCTCATATTCATCTTTTGAAACCCAAATTTCTTCAGTGTATATTAAAAATAATAGAATTGGCCTTGCCATTCTAATACTTTCGAAGTATTCTATACAATACATGTTATATCTGTTTATTCCAGGTAGAAGAGACCTGAAGTTTATTTTAAGAGCTTATAAAAGCTGAGTAAGTCACTAATACTACAATATCTGTCCCCTATTCTGAAGTCTAAGTTACTAATTAGAAGCTAAACACCACTACACAAGTTGTCAATAAGTCAAGTTGTGTCCCATATTCTAAATTCCAGATCATTTTATGTCTTTTGGGTAGTGAAATATACTGGTAGATGTTGCATCCTCAAAAAAGGGGCCACCAAAGCCGAAATGACAATTATTTGTCTCTGATGAAATATGACACTATAGGGAATTAACTAAACAATATTAGAATTTTAATTTAAAGCGTTAATATTGAAATGTCTATGAATCTAGAATATGGAACACATATTTTAGTATAAGTGCCTTCAGAAGTCTGCAGTCTGACACCACCTATAACCTACAGGTATAACATGTTGCCAGTTATGCACTAATAAAATGTGAATGTAAGTGAGTAATTCATGCTCAATTATTTGCATAACAAGGACATTTAATAATTTAGCAGTCATTTGCAAAAAACAGATCCCCAATTACGTACCAATACAAGTGTTTATGAATGGTCCCTGGAGGACTAGTGGTTATGCTTCGACACTCTCACCGCTGTGGCCCAGGTTCGATTCCTGGCCAGGGAACCCAAAAGACAGTGCACTCCCAGTGCCGGTCCCAAGCCCGGATAAAATTGGGAAGATTTGCATCTGGCGTAAAAACTGTGCCAAATCAAACATGTGGACCAATGAGCCACTGCGGCGACCCCTAACGGGAGCAGCCATGATGAACAACAAGTGTTTATGAATGAAGTCTAAGTTATAGTGAATAAATCATTTAAAAGTGTCTAATTTGGTCTTTATTGAACAAAGAACAGTACCTTCATTAAGGCCTAATATGTGTTCCTTAAAATAAAGTGTTACCAATTTTTTTATGTATAAAACAGTTAATTTCATTTTTTCTAAGGCAACTTTGCTTTGCAGCATTTCTTTACATCTGCCTGAGACTTTTTCACAGTACTCTAGATCTGGGCAGGGGGATAAAAATCACATTTAATTTAATCTTTCTAGAGCTGGCCATCCGGTCAAACTCAGTAACTGAGCTAGAAGGTTACAGACAAAAACTGATCTTTTTGGGCTGAACTCCAAGTGCTACATCTGCTCATCAACTGTCTAATACCATCCCTAGGATGTCCTTGAATGGCCTAGCCAACACACAGACTTGAACCCCACAGAACATCTGTGGAGAGACCTGAAGATTGCAATACACAGACACTCCCCATCTAATCTGACTGAGCTTGAGAAGATCTGCCAGGAACAGTGGGAGAAACTGCCCAAATCCAGGTGTGCAATGCTTGTAGGGACTTACCCTAGAAGACTCAAAGCTGTAATTGCTGCCAAAGGTACTTCTATAAAGCACTGAATAAAATGTATGAATACTTATCTATTTTAGAGATTTCAGTTTTTGATTATTAATAAATTTTGCAAAAATGTCTAAAAACATGTTTTTGCTTCATTATGGATTATTGTGTATAGCTTCATGGGAAAAGTCAATTTAATCCATTTTAAATTAAACCTATAACACAATAAAGTGTGCAAAAAAAACAACTGAAGGGGTCTGAATACTTTCAAAACCCACCATAGCAATTAAATTGAAACAGAATTCTAAATGAATCACTTGCCAAAATGGAGCTGGTGACACTGGCATGACCGTTGGCAGGAGAATGTCTGGTCAGGTCAGGTGAGTCCTTCTGTAGGAGGATAAAGTATTTATCAATATGGCAAATAAAACACAGAGACACTTATTAAACTGTCTAGAAGAGAGACAACAGAGGAGGATGGGGTACTTGATATTATTATTAATAATAATAGAGAAGGATCAGAGTGTGACTACAATTTTTTTTGTATGACTACAAGGTGGTGTGACAATGTGAACCCCCATTATTATTATTATTATTATTATTATTATTATTATTATTATTATTACATAGGGACACTTACATCACAAGACAGGGACTGGCTGCGATAACTTGGTACAATCTTGAATGTGATACTCCCACGCATCTCCCTCTGTGTATTATTAAAAATATTTTGTAAGGATCAGGTCCTTTACACTTGTTCTTAAACACTAGAGTACGTAAGAGCAACAACTGAGTTATCTTCATATTAATTCATATTAATTCTTAACCAAAGGAAAAGCAGTCTAACCATGTCCATATATTTGCTGAGTATGTTTTCCACATACCAGCATTTTTTGAAGCTGCTCCACCGTCTGATTGGCTACACTGATGCCATTAATCTCACGAATTTCATCACCCACATGCAGCGTTCCTGTAATTCACACATATGCAATGAACATACATCTAGCAACTCTTCCTATGGTGTGTGCAAACTGAAAAATCCATTATAAAGCAGAAAGTGTAGTTATAAACAAAAACAAGCCCTCAAATAGTAACCTCCGTTATGTGGAACAGTAATGACAGACAGCAATACCTTGCCTGTGGATCATTCCTCCATGCATAATACGAGCTACAATGCAGTGGTTCAGATCGTTCATTTTTAGAGTGATGCCCTGTAAAAACAGAAACAAGAGGCCAACAGCACTTGACAAAAACCTTTCATTTTAGATAATATATAATAGTTAATATTTAGTTAATATCTGAGTAAAACATAATTTATAAAACAAAAATTGGGTAAAAATAAAGTCACACAGCATTACAATAAGGTTGGTCGTGTCTTAGCCCGCTTATACCACAGTGGTTTGCCAATGATTACAATGTTTCATTTATTAATGAATGACATGCTGCGCATTTTAACGTCATGCCCACACCACACCTTGCTGCCGTCTTACCTCATTTGTCTATTACTTGCACTATACCACTCAATGCTACCTTGCTATTTGCACTTCTCATTAGATGATAACTGCACTTCATTGGCTTTGTATTTGTACCCTGCATATTGACCACAAAGTTAAATCTAATCTAATCTAAATCTAACTATAAAGGCCTCATCATACTTCATGCAGAGATGATGTCATTTTGGTCATGGCTTCCATGAACAACATGACATCATGCTCAGGCTTTGCTTATCGTATCAATGCTAGGTGAACATGCTATGTGACAAAGCTTGTGATTGGTGCATTACCACAACAGACAAAACTAAACCACAGAAAGTATGCGAGGTGGTTTCATCTTTGCTTAACCCTCACAGATCTCGTCCACCCATTAAGTCTGTATTAACCTTAACATTAACCTTAGTAACCAAATGGTTTTTTATCATTATGAGGAGATTTGGTCCTTTTTTTCCTTCACGAAGGCTTCAAAACATGCACACACACCTGCGCGCACACATTATTTGGAGCGTCTACCAAGTCTCTGTGTAAGCTGTTACTACAGAAACAATAATGTATTAGAACAAGTGCATTAATTTTAACCTGTCGTTCATGTTACAGCCGAAACTACCTGTGCAGTTATATGAAAATAATGCACACCTTCTGACCAATCAGATTCGAGCACTCAACTGCGCTATGGTGTGTTTTTTTTTTTTATACCACGGTGTGGATGAATGCTTGAATCTGATTGGTCAGAAGGTGTACATTGTTTTTGTATAACAGCATGGCTCAGTAAGTTCCGGCTGTAACTTAAACGATAGCTTAATATTAATGCGATCATTCTAATACGTTTTTGTTTCAATATTAACAGCTCATACACAGGGACCTGTACAGCAGACACTCCACATAATCTAAAATTATAATAATATACAGGGTGTCCCAAAAGTCTCCATAGATAGGGGAAATTAACATGTTTTAGAAAAATGTCTTCCAAAATTTTTCATCCTTAGTTTATATTATTTTTTTTCTGATAGCCGTTAAGAATGCCTTTGACAAAAGAAGAACGTATTGAAATCATTCTCATGGCTGGATTGGGAAGCTGTCACAAGGTTGAGACGGACCTTAAAAGGAAACATGGCAATCACACACAACACTGTTGTCAACTGTATTAACAAATTCAAAAAGACTGGAAGTGTTGCGGACAAACAGAGACGTGGACGTCCATGACCATCTACTGACAATGGCACAACCAATGTGGTGCTGGCATACATAGTCCCCTATGTATGGAGACTTCTGGGACATGATGTACACCGATCAGCCATAACATTATGACCACCTGCCTAATATTGTGTTGGTCCCCCTTTTGCTGCCAAAACAGCCCTGACCCGTCGAGGCATGGACTCCACTAGATCCCTGAAGGTGTGCTGTGGTATCTGGCACAAAGACGTTAACAGCAGATCCTTTAAGTCCTGTAATGGACACCCCACAGATGTTCGATTGGATTGAGATCTGGGGAATTTGGAGGCCAAGTCAACACCTTGAACTCTTTGTCATGTTCCTCAAACCATTCCTTAACAAGTGCAGTGTAGTCACTTCCATTAGGGAATACCGTTGCCATGAAGGGGTGTACCTGGTCTGCAACAATGTTTTGGTAGGTGGTATGTGTCAAAATAGCACCCACATGAATGCCAGGACCCAAGGTTTCCCAGCAGAACATTGCCCAGAGCATCACACTGCCTCCGCCAGCTTGCGTTCTTCCCATAGTGCATGCTGGTGCCATCTCTTCCCCAGGTAAACGGTGCACAGGCACCCGGCCTTCCACATGATGTAAAAGAAAATGTGATTTATCGGACCAGGCCATACGCATCAAGCTGCGATGCACTGTGTGCTCTGACACCTTTCTATCATAGCCAGCTTTAACTTTTCAGCAATTTGTGCTACAATAGCTCTTCTGTGTGATCAGACCAGACGGATATATCTCAACCCTTGACAGGTGCTATTGTATCGAGATAATCAATATTATTCACTTCACCTGTCAGTGGTCATAATGTTATGGCTGATCGGTGTATATTATAATTATAATATTATAAAAAACAGATTTTTAAAAATGTGATGTTTAACAAAGTAAAACCTATAATCATTGATCTGATATCTATCTCTCTCTCTCTCTCTCTCTCTCTCGCTCTCTCTCTCTGTGCAAAAGTCTTAGGCACCCTATTTTTTTAGTACAAACTTTGTTATAGATTTTTATTTTATGACTTCTACATTATTGATTTAGTACAAAAACATTTTAGATTTCCAAACATTAGTTTTCCAGCACAAAATTAAATATTACAGAAAAATTTTGTATGTCAGTAAAGAAAGCAGCATATTACATAAGAGACCACTTTTCAAACAAAAAAACATAATGAAGGCTGCTGGGTTTTGCTGCAAAAATAAGAAGCAAGTATGACAGTCAAAGTCTCCAAAAGAACTGTGGCTGGTTCTGTAAGATGCTCAGTAAAACTTACAGCTAATTTCCTTATAAAACTGCACAAATTGTACCTGAGACTACTATTTTTTTTAAAGCTAAGGATCGTCATACCAAATATTGACTTTGTTTCATTTATTACTGTTTACTGCTCTTTATAGTATTTTTTTAATGTAGAAACATTTCATTATTTTTGAAGGCATCTTTGCTCCACAGCATTTCTTTGCATGTGCCTAAGACTTTTGCACAGTACTGTATGTGTGTATATATATATATATGGTGGTTGAGAGAGAGAGAGACTGTTTATAGTGGCTATAATATACAATCACTGAACACTTTATTAGGAAC